CAACTGTAGGAGCATCTAGGCTATCATTATCTATAAACAACTACGTTGGACTGGCAATGTTATCCGCATAGACGACAGTTAGACTGCCAAAGCAGCTACTTTACAGTCACCTAAAGAATAGTAAACGTAACGCTGGCGGGCAACTGAAAAGGTATAAAGATTGTCTTAAGACAAAACTGAAAAAGTACCAAATTGACCCCTTCACCTGGGAGACTATTATTCCACACCATAACGCTTGGAAGAGCACCTCACGAGAAGGTATCAATACTTTCGAGTTAGCCTGACTGCATACCAAGGCACTAGATGTATCCCTCTACACGTGCAACATATGTGTACGAATCTGCTGTCCCGTATCGGCCTCTCTAGTCTCCTCAGAGCTCACCAACGAAGGTGACATCCTTAATAACTCATATCATAATATAATAGCTGGTTAATCGTCATACTCGATTCCGAGTGACAGCAAAGTAGTAGTAGTAGTGTGTGTGCATACGTGTGTGTGTGTGTGTGTGTGTGTGTGTGTGTTTGTGTGTGTGTGTGTATAATAATAATGATAGCAATAATAATAATAATAATAATAATAATAATAATAATAATAATAATAATAATAATAATAATAATAATAATAATAATAATTAACGGTGTATTGAAAGAACAAGGGAGCCAAAAGGCTGAACATATAGTTACATAATTGGCGAATGGATCACTTGATTGTGAAATAATATACAAGAAACATAAGTCATACAAATATGATATATAAGAACAAGGTTAGGAGAAGGGTATACTCCAAGTCATTTCAACATACTGTAGTAACGGTTCAAAAAGGTAATTTTGGTTGTGAGTGAACACACTGGTTGACTACGAGTTGTTGATTTTTACACTGGTTAGGAGTGGGCTGTTCTTATAGCGATCAGCACGTGCTCGTATGCACTGGATGCAGTTTTGGTATAGAACAGCAATTCTTGGACGAGGGATCTCGGGTCGAAGCAGGAGTTGGTGTCTAGGATGATGCAGAAGCTTGTCCCCAATTTTGAAGATGAACAGAGAGAGCCGAGAGGGTTAGTGTGTTGAGCGCTTCTAGATATGTGGAGTAGGAGGGTGAGAGAATAATCTTACATGCCCTCTTCTGCACTTTTTCTACGTGTTTCAGTTGTGTGGCATTTAAGGAGGAAGACCAGGCAGGGGAAGCATAAGTGAGCTTGGGAAGTATGAATGTTGAGGAAGCAGCGAGATGCTCAGGTGCGGGAACTCTGAGGGACTTGAGACGGCGGAGAAGGTGGAGACGAAAACTGGAGGATTTGACAGTTGTACTGACGTGTGTTTTCCAATTTAGTTTGTAATCTATACTGACGCTGAGTAGTTTGGTGGAGTCTACAACCTGGAGTGTGATAGACCCAAAGTAATGGCAGGAGGTGGGACAAGGTCAGAGGAGAGGTTGATGTGCATAACCATGGTCTAGGTATGGTTGGTGGTGTCATGGTTGTTGGTGACCCAATTTTGGAGACTGTTCAATCTATTCTGGAGGACGGTGTAGTAGGGAGCCGAGTTGTTCACACTGATCCCAATGGTAGCGTCGTCGACATATTTCCAGCGGGTGGTAGTTTCTCTTAGAGCATCATTGATGAGCATGTGGAAGCAGATCTGTCCCAGGTGAGCGACTGAACGGTGGAGACAGCCCCTCGGAAGCGTCGGTCATTGAGGAAGTCTGTAAGCCACGGTATAAGACTTCTTCGGAACCCGAGGTCGATGGCTTATTTATGATTAAATTGTGGTCGACTAGGTCGAATGCATTGGTGAAGTCGATGAAGGCGACAACCACAGACGTCTTTCGTTTTACCAGATGGCGATATATGTAGTCAAGAAAGCTGACAAGACAGTGCATGGTGGAAGAAGTTTTCATTTGTCAAATTGATGAGCAACTATGGCACCTGCAATATCAGCATAAGCCCAGTCAAAAACAAAACTTTCGCAGATTAAGCTGGATTTTGGGTGATAGCAATGGGTCGCGTTTGTGTGTAATAATAATAATAATAATAATAATAATAATAATAATAATAATAATAATTAACAGTTTATTAAGATAACATGGCAGCCCAAAGGCTGAAAATATACAATGAACAGAGATGATAAGTAACATATGGTGAAATCGGGGAGTGGGTCACTTGAATGACAAAATCTTTCAATACGTAAACATAAGAAACAGAGTCAACATATAGATTTACTTTAGATCTGGTACTGTGGGAGCTGGTCTGTAGACATTCTTGTGACCTGATGTCAGCGCCAACAAAGTCCTTCCCACTGTCTTGATGGCGTTGTACTTGACTGCTAAGCCACTACCTCACGACAGCTACAGATGTACCACGTGGTCCGGGTAGGTCCTCCAGCTCTCACACGGTGTTGGAGATGGTTCTTGTTCCTCATATGATGTAGTTAGGAATTCATGGTTCCTCACCTGGGTGGAGTAGGGAGTCCTCATTTCTCTCCTGGTGTTGTTTGGAGTGTTTCTTGGCTTCTTATCCAGTGTTGGGGGTGGCGAGTGTACCGCGGGCTGGGTGTGTCAGGTCAACATTGGCGGCTAAGTCTTGATTGTCTCTCTAACAGTTGTTTCTTCCTTTCGAGTTGAAAATGTCACTTTCGTATATCAGTTGTGGGTTAATCTTCAATCTTTGCACTGTACTGTTGGTGGGAGGATGTTCATAAATCCAGATGGGGAGGAGGAGATGGGAAAAGGGAAGGCCTGACAAACCAGACTGCCAGCTGTCTCCATGGTCAAGAGGCCATGGAGGCTGAAGGAAGTAATAATAATAATAATAATAATAATAATAATAATAATTAACGGTTTATTGAAAAAGTTCTGCAGCCCGAAGGCTGAAAATATACATTGGACATAAATGACTTATTACATACATTGGTGGTTTAACAAAAGCCTTCATTAGAGAAAGGTAAAGGAACATACAGTGAACATTCAGATTAATGTAGGTGTTGAACAGCAAACACGTAGTGTAGTAACTCTCTCCCAGATGGTGGTAGGAGGGACCTGATGTGGTGTAGTAATTCCCTCACAGATGGTGTTATGAGGGGCCTCACGTGTAGTAATTCCCCCACAGATGGTGTTATGAGGGGCCTCACGTGGTGTAGTAGTTCCCTCATAGATGGTGTTACGAGGGGTCTCACGTGGTGTAGTAACTCCCTCACAGATGGTGTTATGAGGGGCATCACGTGGTGTACGAATTCCCTCACAGATGGTGTTATGAGGGACCTGACGTGGTGTAGTAATTCCCTCACAGATGGTGTTATGAGGGGCCTGACGTGGTGTAGTAATTCCCTCACAGATGGTGTTATGAGGGACCTGACGTGGTGTAGTAATTCCCTCACAGATGGTGTTATGAGGGGCATCACGTGGTGTAGTAATTCCCTCACAGATGGTGTTATGAGGGACTTGACGTGGTGTAGTAATTCCCTCACAGATGGTGTTATATGAGTGAGGTGTGGCCCCAGGCCTTCCTATCGTAGACGGATTAACACATCGCCGGTTGTTGGGTCTCACGGGCCGTTATCACTGGGTACCTGGGACCTCACTGTGTGAAGGTTAACTTGAATACGACTTTTACTGTTGAGTTGTTCTCACTGACTCAAGCACTGTTCACCAATGTTCACCTCTGTTTAACACTGGTTCCATTCCTTTCCCAAATGAAATTGTAATTTCTGGAGAGAACCTGTTGATACTCCGGTGGGGAGAAGTGGTTCAGGGGAGGGGGTTGGTATGGGCCAACTTAACAGTTGACCTGGCTGCTCCGAGAGGAGCGCCAGGTACGTCTTGACCCTTCGATGGTCAAGGATGTAGTGTGTGTGTGCGTGTGTGTGTGTGTCTCAGTCTTTCCCTCACATCTTTTTAACAACATACTTTGGTGTTTCCAGTTCGTCATGGGTAGGTGTCATAAGCAGTGTCATCTGTCCGGTTTCATAGTCGTATCATAAGCAGATATCATGTAAAGTGACGTGTTTGTCATGAGAAGGGTCCAAGGTGTAACATATTTATCTTTCACGGGCAGGTAGGTGTCATGTGTGGTTGTCATTTAATAACGAAGTTTTATTATTATTATTATTATTATTATTTCTTCACAATGACCTTTCTCATAAAACATTATTTTAATAACACTATTTATAGTGAAGCCAACATGTCCGCACCATCTTTTGGCAAAATACTGAACTGAAAAGAAATTCAACCAATGGGCAAAATACTGAACTGAAAAGAAATTCAACCAATGGGAAAGCGATGCGGGAATATTCAACCACTGGAAGAACAGCTTTGTCTATAAGAGAAAGTTGTGGTGTTGACCCAGCAAGATAACGTCATCAACGGCAGGAACCCGCAGATAAATAATTACGCAACTCAGTTAAGCTTGTCTGAAGATACAGTCATACTGGAAGGCCAGAGATACAACCTGTAACTACTATGACTTGTTGTTCTTATTGGTTGGGTGTTCTGGCGCTGTTGTGTGATTGGCTGAATGTCCTGACCCTGTTGTGTGATTCGTTAATGGTGTGGAAAGTTCAGTATTTTGTCAACAGTTGGCGGAGTTATGTAATCACCGAGGCTCGCCTGTTGTTGTTAACACTAATTATTACATCTGTTTGTGTATCATTATTTCTATTATTATTATTATTATTATTATTATTATTAGGTGTAGTAGTAGTAGTAGTAGTAGTAGTAGTAGTAGTAATTATCCTTATTACTCAGTTTGCCATTAATGCTGTCTTAGTTATTATGCTCATCATTAGTATAATTAATTTTAATTTTAGTGCAATTACCATTATTACTATCTTCAAATATCTAATAAATAATATTCTTCCCAGTAGTATTTTTGTAGCATTATTATCGTTAGTAGTGTTATCATTAGTATTTGTATTATTTATACTACGTCTACTAACTTTATATGTATTAGTGTTAACATTTAGCTTCTTTTTTTAATTCTCATTACTATTATTATTTTGCCTTACAGCCATACTGAAGCAGTCACATGGGCGCGGTAGGTAGATTGAAGAAATTACCTTACGATTCTCAGGTGATTTTATCCTAAGTTTCTTTTGCTACCTTGTGATTTATTAAAGTATTTTTGGAGAAAGTGTCTTACGATTCGAAGCTGATTTTGTCATAGTGATTGGATAAATTACCTTACGATTTTGAGGTAATTATAAGTAAATTGATTTTCCTAAGTTTTTACCTTACACGGAAAAAAATAATGTCTCAGGGTAAAATCTGACACCATTTTTCTTAAAGGTGATTGATAATTGAATTTTTGTTTTGTAGTTGAGGGGTAAACATTTTATTGATGGTACGAGAGAGAGAGAGAGAGAGAGAGAGAGAGAGAGAGAGAGAGAGAGAGAGAGAGAGAGAGAGAGAGAGAGAGAGAGAGAGACATAATGTAACAGTTAAAGAGAACTTAAAAACGAGAGAAAAGGGTTAGGTAAAATGGACCCTGCGAGAAAGCAAAATCTGCGAGTCTTGCAACCGGTTCCTGGAGTGTGCAAAATACAGTACATATAAATAGTTATACGCACACATATAGCAACATTATGTACATATATCCTTTAAACTAAGAGGGTTTAAACAACGCGGCCCTCGCCTCTCTGCAGATTGCACTACGGGTTGCATGGGGAGCAAGGGAGCTTGTGTACTACTACTAGTAGCAGGGGTCACTATGTTCGGTAACAGGAGAAAACGGCCCAAACCAGAACGGCCCCACTCTAACCAAAACTGCCCACCGTGTGACCAAAACGGCCTAACTCAAACCTAACCTAACCTAACTTAACCAAAACTGAGCATGATAGCAGCCATGTTGACAGTCTGAGTTGGCTTGGTAACTAACCAGAAGTGGCAACTGGTTGTTTGGTCCAATGTTTACATCGCTTACATTTGACTGTTGCCACTTCTGGTTAGTTACCCAGCCAGCGTTTCACTCTGACCCGCTTCCGTTCGTCAGTCAATCATAGCAGCTCAGACTGTCAACATGGCTGCTATCTTGCTCAGTTTTGGTTAGGTTAGGTTAGAGTTAGGCCGTTTTGGTCACACGGTGGGGCCGTTTTGGTTACAGGGTGGGGCCGTTTTGGTTACAGGGTGGGGACGTTTTGGTTACAGGGTGGGGCCGTTTTGGTTACAGGGTGGGGACGTTTTGGTTACGGGGCGGAGCCGTTTTGGTTACAGGGCGGGGCCGTTTTGGTTACAGGGTGGGGACGTTTAGGTTACAGGGTGGGGACTTTCTGGTTTGGGCCGTTTTCGATTGGGGCCGTTTTTTTCCTCGAAACCCAATGTTCTTTCCCGCTGCCCACCCCGCCTTAGAGTGTGGGGGAGGGAGGGAGAGCGTAATGCTTGGTGCCATTGTTACATATAATGAAACTATAAAAGTTGTGGCCAAATCATTCCAATACTCTAATGTGACTTAGACATAAAGAAAATATAATATATAAACTATACAATATCAAATATGAAGAGCATGGGTGTGTATTGTGTGGGAGGTGATTGTCTTTGTGAAAGCAGTGAGAAGTTTGTCAAAAGTGCATTTGGCGACGGCTGGTTAGGCCTACAGTATTTCAGTTTAAATGAGGACCACACAACCATCTCTGCTGTATGAATATCTGAATAATCAACATTCATCCTGGATCTCCTTGTTATGATGACACTGATGATTAGTACAGATCCTATAAAATGAATGATATGATGATGGGAATAAGTCAATATAATAAACCTGAAATAAAATAAATAAATAGACATAAACATGAAATAACAATTACTCTGTGCTGTACTATAGTAGACTTGAATTGAATTGAAACAGTTTATTTAGCCATAAAAACACAGATACAGAGTGGATAATAATAACAATATTAACATGGCTGAGCCAGTTGAGAACCTGAGCTCTCTTTTAGGCACCTGATATATACTATACATTTATCTCAAGGAAGTATTATGTAACATTTAGTAACATCTGGAATAGTATAATACCATGGTGGTAATAAGAACATCTCATAATGTTACCACGGTTATCATTTCAATATTTATTAATTTTATTTATTTATTATTTTTTCAGTTTATTTTATTTTATTTATATATGCATAAATTAAAGTGGAATTGAAAAACATGAGTATAATGGGGGAAGGGCTAAAAAAAAGGTGACCACTGCATTTCATAGTGCAAAGGTCCCACTTAGCATAAGTGTTCCTTGGGGCAACCGCAAGAAAAAATATCCAAAGAGACACTTTGTCTATGCATAGAACCCACTAATTAGCATAAATTGTGCTAATTAGCACCCAAAAGAAGGCAATTTCTAACCTTTAAACCATTTCGTCTAGAAGCATGTGTGATTTGAATTGTTTCTCTCTTTTTTTACGGGGAATAGCTCACCCGAGCAGAGGTCATCGACCCACAACGGGGCCTAGGGGGCGAGAAAATAGGAGTAAAAATAAATTAAAAATAGAAAAGTAAAATATTATATTAATTTACACCACGAAGATGCCGGAAAACCAGCTTTTTGAAGTGAGACAGATTGTAAGAGTATGGAAACACAGAAGAAGGCAGAGCATTTCACAGTTTGGCTGTGTGAGGAAAAAAGAATGTACGATAACAGGTTATTCTCGTGTGACTGACATCCACAGAGAAACGGTGGGCACCGCGGGCAAGACGTGTGTTACGAACCCACGGCCTTGCCGGCGGTACACAGGATGCCAAATCCACCGAACATTGCCCGTTAAAGTACCTGTAAAAGAGAGAGTGAAGCAACATTGTGGCGAAGAGAAAGGGAAGAGAGATTACACCGGTCAACACAATTTTTCTGGCACAAGGTTTTTAAACGGATTTTAAGTAAATTTGGGGTGTAGAATCCAAATATGACTTTGGTTTTTGTCTATCACATCAGGTTTTTGAGATATACCATATTGCACTTTTGCTGGGAAACGTAAACTTTTGGATCAAAATTGACGGTTTAAACATGTATACATAAATTTTTTCAGCATTATAATTTGTATTTTTCTATAACCAAAAATTGTTAATATCAAATTGGAAAGTTAATGCACATATAATATTTAAATGTAACATTGAAGGGTGAAAAAAACCAATTAATGTACGGTAGAAATAGTGCAAGTATTAAGATCAAGTTACAGTTACATAAACTTCCTCTTTTTGGCCGATCTCTTATGTACAGCTTCTGGAATGTCTCTCATCAAACTCCAGCAGTAGTCCGCCATCATGTTCGAGTCCCATCGACCTTGGTAACGTTCTTCCATTACTTTAATGTCTTGATGAAAGCGCTCCCCTTGCTCCTCGCTCACTTCTCCCAGATTTTCTGGAAACTCGTCCAAGTGACTGTGTAAGTAGTGAACCTTGATACTCATTCTGCATCCAAGTGCTTGTAAACTCAAGAGCAGCTCTTCCACAATTTCTTGATAGTTGTCCGCTTTCTTGTTCCCTAAGAAGCTCCGCACCACATTAGAGAAAGCATTCCAAGTTCTTGCCTGTGCCTCAGTCATTGTTGCAAGGAAGTGTGGATCTCTGAGTAGTGTTCTTATTTGAGGTCCATCAAAAATCCCTGCCTTTATCTTCTCGTCGCTAAGACTTGGAAAGGTTGAGCATATATATCTGAAACACTCTCCACTATGATCAAGAGCCTTGACGAATTGCTTCATGATACCAAGTTTTATGTGCAGAGGAGGAAGGACAATGTTTTTCCTGTCAACCAGAGGATCGTTAATGATATTCTTGTCACCAGGAGTCAAACTATGTCTTGGTGGCCAATTCTTTTTCACCCAATGGTCTGCTGTAGCCCTGCTGTCCCAGTATCACAGAAAACAGGGGTATTTTGTGTACCCTCCTTGCTGGCCCAATAGAAAGTTTACCATTTTCAAGTCCACACAAATTAACCATTCATGAGCATGGTATTGCAACCTCTCTAGAATAGTCTTAATGTTTTCATACTCTTCTTTAATTTGTACAAAATGTCCGATTGGAATTGAACCATACTTGTTTCCGTTATGAAGAAGAACACATTTCAAGCTCCTTTTAGAACTGTCAATAAAAAGTCTCCAATCCTTACTATCATATGCTGGTAGTCCCATGGAGAGAAGAAGTCCTTCTAAATCATTACAAAAAACAAGCTGGTCATATGAATGAAAGTACTTCCGCAGTTGCTCTTCTCTGTTGCGATAAAAGGAGACACTCGTGCCAGGTTTTAAGAGTCGTTTCTCTTGAAGCCTGGAAGCTAACAATTCAGCAGACTGTTTTGGCAAATTTAGATCTCTGACCAGATTCAATTCTGACTGAGTAAACAACGTTGGCTTTTCACAATCTTCATCAGATGGCTTGAAAAGATCAGTCTCTTCATCTTCATCAGTAGAAACAGGTGAATTCCGGTCTATATCCTCAATCTCTGGTAGCTCAATAAATTCTGGCACGTTACGTGATGGAGCAAATCTGAGATCAGATTTGGATTCAGCACCTTAAAGTTAGTAAAAAACAGTTAAAAGGTTTCATGCCAGAAAAAAAAATATTTTTTGTAGACCAGTGTTATCAACTAAAGGAGAATTAATAAGACGAAATGCCTTTGATTCCACCCTATGTAACAGTTGGACAGAAGAAGCGTCACCCCAATTATAAGAGCAGTACTCCAATTTAAGACGAATGAATCTTTTATAAACTTGAAGCAACTGCTCAGGAGTGAAGTAGCTGCGGCATCTGTACAGCATTTCCAGCTTTCGGGGGGCGGCGTTATCAATGTTGTGGATGTGTGGCTTCCATAACATATTAGAGGAAATGGTGAGGCCTAGCATATCTATTTTAGAATTTGGCAGAATGATTGCGTCCTGAAATGTGATCGGTGGGAGATCATCTAATTTGGAAAGTGCAATTGGTAAATACGGAGTTTTATTACTATTGAATTTAACCAAGTTTCTACCTCCCCATTCGGAGATGCTGCACAGATCAGCGTTGGTAGATGAAATGATATCAGATCTAGAAACAGATCTAGTTTGAGAATTAGAGGGAAG